CAATATCACCCTAAAATAATCCATAACTGCTTGAAAAAGGGGACTTTGGAACCCATGGCTTAGAGGAGTACCGAGCAGCAACATCACTATTCTGACAGGAATGAGCTGCAAAGTGAAATTCATTTTCCAATCATCATCAAGGATAATGTAATAAGTTGTGATATCATGTCAACTTCATTTGCAGATGTTAAGTTTCAAATAAAAACAGATGTCCTTGATGTTAGGCTTGTTCTGAGTGTAGAAGAAAAAGAATTTTTTTTAAGTTATCCATCTCTTGGCTGTTGTAGATAGTATTGTTATCAGCAGTGGGTGTATGTATGTTTTGAATTAGAGTTTTCTCTGGATATATGCCCAGGAGTGGGATTGCTGGATCAAATGCTAACACTTTAGTCTTTTTAAAGAATCCATACTATTTTCCATATTGGCTGTTGATAGTACATTAGGTATGGTAGCATCTAAATGTCCATCAACAGATGACTAGATAAAGAAGCAGTGGTATATTTATACAATGGAATATTACTCTGCCATAAAAAGAATAAAATAATGCCATTTGGAGCAACATGGATAGACCTGGAGATGTCATTCTAACTGAAGTCAGCAGGAAGAGAAAGAAAAATACCATATGATATCACTTATATCTGGTATCTAAAAAAAAAAAAAGTTAGGGACACTATGAATTCATCTACCAAATAGAAACAGACTCGCGGACTTAGTGAACAATCTCATGGTTACCAGGAAAAGGGAGTGGAAGGGGATACATTTGGGAGTTTGAGATTTACAAATGTTAGCTACTATATATAAACATAGATTTTGAAATAGTTTCAGTCAGTACATATATGTAAACTAAAAATAAGTGCAGTATATCGTATATATGCATTTACATGTAATATAATGTGTATGTGCAGTCAAACTTCAATAACTCTACCTAATAAAACTGAAAAAGGAAATAAGTTACTTTTGTATAGCACAGGGAACTGTGTTCAATATGTTGTAATAACCTTTAATGGAAAGTAATATGAAAACAAATATATGCATGTATGTGCATGACTGGGATACTGTGCTGTACACCACAGATAGACACACTGTAACTGACTGGACTTCAACAACAAAAAAACTCTGTCAATAAGGTGAGGACTGATAAGCCCTGCAGATGCAGGTGGCAGCCTCACGGTGAGACTGTGGCTGGAGGGGGCCGAGCCCGCTGAGGGTTTGTGTTCAGGCTGCAGGTGCCCGGGGAGCACTGTGCTCACAGCACAGAAGTAAGTGGCTGAGTCTGTGGTCCGGGAAGAGGAAATGTTCAAGGAGCTGCGGCGTTCTTGCGTGTCTGTCGTGGCACTGAATCTTCCATCGTGCTTCGTCCCTGACGCAACAT